CAGGTTTTTTTTTTTTTTTTTTTTTTTTGAGGGTTTAGGGTTTAGGGTTTAGGGTTAATTTTCTTTTTTTTGTAGGGTTTATTTATTTATTTATTTATTTATATGTTTCTCTCCGTGTGTCTCCTTCCTTCTGTCTCTTTTTTGTCTCTTTTTGTCTCTTTTTATTGTCTCCTTTTTGTCCCCTCTTTTGTTGTTTCTTTTTGTGTCTCCTATTAATAACCTACCTTATTCTCTTCTGCTACTGCCTGCTGCTGCTGTCTGCTGCTGCTGCTGCTGCTGCTGCTGCTGCTGCTGCTGTCTGTATTATAGGAAATAGATTCTGCTGCAGCAGAACTTCTCCGTTGTGAGTTTGCGGAGACATTCATAGACCCATACACTCATACAGAGAGAGGGGGCCCCCCAGGGGGCCCCTCAGGGGCCCCCCCAGGGGCCCCTATAGAAGGGGGCCCCCTGAATAATGATGGGGGGCCCCCTTATGAAGGGGGAGGGCACCTAAAGGTAATGAGACTAAAGGAGGCCCTTAATGCATGCAGAGAAAGGAGGAAACAAAAATATCCAACTGTTACTATTTAATTCTGCTGCTTATGCTGCTGCTGCTGCTGCTGCTGTTGCTGCTGCTGTTGCTGCTGCTGCTGCTGTTGCTGCTGCTTCTTCTGACACTGCTGCTGCTACTGGTGTTGCTAGTGCTGCTGCTAGTGCTGCTGTTAATTTTGTTACTAGTGCTACTGCTGATGGTGCTGCTAGTGTTGCTGCTGCTGCTGCTAGTGTTGTTGTTGCTGCTGCTGCTAGTGTTGTTGTTGTTGCTGCTGTTCCTGCTGCTGTTGCTGTTGCTGCTCCCAGCATTGCTGCTGTTGCTGCTGTTGCTGCTGTTGCTGCTGCTGCTGCTGCTACAACAATGTGTAGGAGGGGGCCCCAAACCCTAGGAGGGTTTTTCCTGTTTTTTTTCTCCTTTGTTGTTTTCTTTTTTATTTCCTTTTTATCTCCTGCTGCTACCTCGGCAGCAGCAGCACTGCAGCACGAGCAGCAGCAGCAGCAGCAATAACAGGAGGAGGAGCAGCAGAGGGACTAACAAGGGCAACAGGAACTAACAGTGCAGTCGGCAAGGGACGCTTCTGACGGGACGCTAAACCCTAAACCCTCAAAAAGTACCGTAAACCCTAAACCCTCAAAAAGTAAAGTAAACCCTAAACCCTCAAAATGTACCGTAAAAATGTACCGTAGACCCTAAACCCTAAACCCTAAACCCTCAAAGTAGTATCCATAGGACCCTATTGCTAACACAAATCTACATACAGTAATTCACATCCTTTCCTCCTTGTCTACAAAAGGGTTTAGGGTTTAGGGTTTACACCACTTTAGGGTTTGTGAATAGGAGTGTAATTAGGGTTTAGGGGGCGTGTTATGCCGCTACTGCGGGGGTGACCAGTAAGCGGAAGGGGGTGGAGGGCGAGGGTTTAGGGTTTAGGAGGGGTTCGTCTGTTGCGTGCGTAGCGGAATCCGGGGTGAATTAGGGTTTAGGGTTTATGTGTATTAAGAAGAAGGAGTTATTATGTAGGGTTTAGGGTTTAGGGTTTAGGGTTTAGGTTAAGAAGGAACAGCTAGCTGGGGGGAGGGACGGTCGCTCATCGAAGTAGCGGTGAGTGTGTGTGCGTGCGCGTCGTGTATGAGGGTTTAGGGTTTAGGGTTTAGGGTTTAGGGTTTATTAATGTATTAAAGACAAGATATAAAAAAGAGTAAATAAGAAGAAAAAGAAGAAAAATAAATAAAATAAATAAAAGAATAAGAGAAGGAAACAAAAGAAGAATCTGCATCAGCAGCAGCTAGGCGTGCTCTACTACCGTAGCAGCAGCAGCAGCAGCAGCAGCAGCAGCAGCGGCAGCGAGTAGTACAGCGGCTGTTTTTCTTTCTTAGTGTTTATTAAACCCCCAATTAGTGTTTATATATTAGGGTTTAGGGTTTTATTGTTATTAATGTTTATGTATTCTTCTTCTTTGTTCTTTTTCTTGTTGTTATTGTGCATAATATACAATCAAACAGCAGCAACAACAACAGCAGCAGCAGCAGCAAGCAGCAGCAGCAGCAGCAGCCTCCTCTTGTTGCAGCACAACCACACTTATAAACACTAATTAGGGTTTATTCTTCTTTTTTTCTTCTTTTCTTCTTCTTACTAATACATTATTAGTGTTTTCTTTTTTATTTATTTCTTTATTGCAGCACATTGAGCTGCCTAGACACCATAACAGCAGCAGCAGCAACAACAACAACTACTACTTAACAGCAGCAGCAGCAGCAGCAGCAGCAGCAGCAGCAGCACCTGCTGCTCCGTGCAGCGTTTTTCTTTCAGCTTTCTTCCATCATGACTCGGCATAATAATTTATTTTCTTCTTTTATTAATAAAGAAGAAATAAATAATACCCTTTCCTTACAAGAAGAACAAATACCTAGAGGGGCCCCCCATATACAGCAGCAGCAGCAGCAGCAGCAACAGCTGCAACAGCTGCAGCAGCAGCAGCAGAAGAAGCATAAACAGCAGCAGCAGCAACCACGTCGCTGCTCTCCATCGTCAGATCTAGCAGCAACAGCACCATCGCATGATGCTACTGCAGCAGAAGCAGCAGCAGAAGCAGCAGCAGAAGCAACAGCAGCAGCAGCAGCAGCAGCAGCAGCAGCAGGAGCAGCATCAAGTTCAGCAGATACTATGACACCAATAATAAGTCCAACAGCAGCAGCAGATGCTGCTGCAGCAGCAGCAACAGCAGCAGCAACAACAACAGCAGCAGCAACAGCAGCAGCAACAGCAGCAGCAGCAGCAGGAAGAGGAGGAGGAACAGACATACAAATGCATGCATCAGGGGAGCCACCAACAGCCTCAATAACAGAAGCAACAGGATCGGAATCAGCAGCAGGAGCAGCAGGAGCAACAGGAGCAGCAGCAACAGGAGCAGCAGCAGGAGCAGCAGCAGGAGCAGCAGCAGAAGAAGAAGAGGAAGAAAATAAGATAGACCCCCCTAATAACCCATCATTATTGATAGTAAATAAAGGAGAAGAAGAGGAAGAAAAAAAAAAGAATATAATAAATAAATATATAAATAAATATATAATAAAAGAGAAAAAGAGTATATTTATATCATTTTTTTCCTCTTTCTCTCTATTATATGTTGCTACTTTTGCTGCACTTACTGGATTACTTATGGGCTATGATATGTGTATAGTTGCAGTTGTATTAGATCCTGTAGATGAATATTTTTCTTTATGTAATAATAATAATATTTCTTGTAGTTATAAAACATTATTTGTATCTATTCTTGCACCTGGAGCTGTTGTAAGTTATATTTATTTAATAAACCCTAAACCCTAAACCCTTATTTATCTTTTTCTATTAAAAAAATCATCAAAAAATATTATATATTCATTGAATTATGTAAACCCTAGATAAACCCTAAATTAGGGTTTATATATATATTATAT